CAGGCAGGTGGGCTCAGCAGAACTCTAGCTCAGAGATAAGGTAGAAAGGGTGCCATCTTTAAGCAACTTTGGGAAATACCACATGCACTCCTTATGCCTTCAGAATATCAGTACGATGCGCAGGGAAACCAGATTCGTGTCAGCTCATCTGTGGGAGCTTGGGCAAGTTATCTCAGCTCTCTGGGCCTTGGTTTCTCATCTGCACAATGGAGATAAGAATGTTAAGTGTTGTAAGGATTAAATGGCCAAATGCATTCAAGGCGGTCCTGGTGTAAGTAAACGCTGCCTGTGCTCACAGTTCCTGCCGTGTGGTAGTCACGAAGCACATGTGGCTGGTCTGAGTTGTCATGTGTCATAAATGTAAGATACACAGTGACTTCTGAAGACTTGGTGTGAAAAAAAGAATGTGAAATATCTCAATATTTTTAGATTGATTACATGTGGAAATGATACTATCCTGGGTATACAGATGACCCTTGAACAGCAGAGGGGTTAGGGGCACTGACACCCCTGCACAGTTAAAAATCCTCGTATAACTTATCTAGTCTACAGCTGTGCTACCCTGAACATGCCTGATCTTGTCTGATCTTGGAAGCTAAGCAGGGTCGGGCCTGGTTAGTACTTGGATGGGAGACCAACTAGGAAGACCAGGTGCTGTAGGTGTAAAAAAACCCAAAACCAAAAAACTTAATGCCAGCAACCTACTATGGACCAGAAGCTTTATGGATAACATAAATTGTCAATTAACACATATTTTATATATTATTATACACTGTATTCTTACAATAAAGTAAGAATGTTATTAGGAAAATCATAAGGAAAATACATTTACTGTATTTATTGAAAAAAATCCACGTATAAGTGGACATGTGCAGTTCAAATGTATGTTCAAGGGTGAACTGTATATTGGGTTAAGTACATTACTAAATTAATGTTACTTGTTTATACTTTTTAAATGTGGCTACTAGAAAATTTAAAACTACATATGCGACTTGCACTATATTTTATATCAGACAGCATAGCTCTGCAGTAAATGCTTAATAAACATTTTATAGTATACAGTGATGGTCCTAAACCTGGAGGGGGGGCAGTTTTGACTCTCAAGGGACATTTGGCATTGTCTGGAGACATTTTTGGTTGTCACTACTTGGGAGGAAGGTGCTACAGGCATCTAGGGATTCTGTTAACCATCTTACAATACACAGGACAGCCCGCCACACCCTGCGGTGAACACAAAAAATTATCCCGCCTCAAATGCCTGTAGTCCAGAGGTGGAGACACTGGTATAGAGGAAGTGCTCGATAAACATTAGCTGGCGGTAGCATTATCTCCCATGTTCATTTTGAAGGCCCTGACAAGTCCCGTAGGAAAGAAACTTGTTTAATTTTTGCCAGTAGGAGCAGGAGATGAACAGGAGCTGGAGAGATAGGGTTTGGCTTTGGAAGATGCTAGGAGGTTGAAACCAGAGGACCAAATGGATTTTGAAAGAGGAGAGTGAAGGAGGGATGATGATTTCTCACTGCAGTGGGGACAGGGAGAAGGAGCAATTTTGGAGCAAGATGCTAAGGATTATGGGAGATGCCCAGAGCTCACTGGTAGTCATGACTAAGGCTGCAGCAGGTGCTCAGATGGCCATAGAAACCATCATAGTGCGTGTGGTGGGGCATGTCTAGGTGAGAGGCTGCTGAGACACAGCTGGCAGGAGCTCTGCATTGAAGGGCACATGGGGAGGGGTGCTTAGTTTGAGTGGTGGGGGAGAGAAAAAGGTGAGAAGTTGGGAGACGCTGGGGGGAGGAAAGCTTCCGGAAGAAGGAGGTGCTGGACGGAGACCCAGGCGAGATGTGGGCCCACTGTTGGATGGCCAGTGCTGGCCTTGAGGATGCTGGGAGCTGGGAGGGCAGGAGCTGGACCAAGGAGGTTGGGGCCGGGGCAGGCTGGAAGGAGGTGGAGCCTGGAAAACTCTTCTTTCAAGGAGCTGAGCCGAGAGCGGCAGAGAGCGGGCACGACTGTCCACAGGGATGGGCTGTTAAGTGGGAAGGTCAAGTGTGAATTTAGAAGGTGGGGAGAGAGCCCTGACAAGGAAGGACTGAAGGGCAGAGGGTCTCTGGGGAGCATAGCTGTGAAGACAGGCCCCTGAGGAAGGTCTGGTCACGTTCGATGTTTCTGAGCATTAGAATCCTGCCCCCATTTTTTCACACACACACAACCCCAATAAACAGATCAGCTGCTCTGATTGGAATGAGAATAGGAGCCTCCCTGGAAAAACCCCAACGTGAGGCCAAATTCCCACCACGTTGGCGTTGGTCACCTCTTCCCCCACCTTTTTCTGGCATCTTATTCTGATCTTTCTCCTCCCTACTTTTGGTTCCTTCTTGAGACCTGCCCCCATCCCCATATGTGGGGCTTCCTCAAGCCTCTTTGTACTCCGCCTATCTCATTTAGGGTTGTCTCATTCAGGGTTTTTGTGGCTGCTTCTAGGACATAGTCTTTTCTAAGCCCCAGCCCCTCAGACTCAGCCTCCTGTATCTCCATCTCAGCCACCACCCTCCTTTCTCCATTTTCCCCTGACACCTGATGGGGCCCTAGATACCTTCCTCCCCCTCCTCCCTTCAGTAACCAAGTTCAGACCACTCACCCCCACCTCAAAGTGTCTGCAGCCTGTCCACCTCCCCCATTCAGTACCTTGCCAGCTGGTCCTGAAAGCTAAAGCTCATTGCTTCCCAGCCTCCAAGCTGAGATAGTGTAGTCTGTTTCAGTCCTGGGTTTGGAAGCCAGTCCCAGCCTTGCCCAGTTGTGTGGCCTTGGGCAGGTTACTTTCCTTCCCTGGGCCTGAGTTTTGGAATTAGCAATTGTTCCCTGGCTGCATCTTCGTAGGGTTGCAGTGGTGTAGGGCACCTAGGGCTAGCGATTAAGCGATATTGTCATTATTGTCCCCCTACCCCCTCTCCCCACCCCCAACAAGACTTCGCTTAGCTGGCCATGTCACCATCTCGTTGGACCTTTCCTACAGGTGCAGGAGCCCACCATCTCCCTGAGGCACTGCTGTCTCCCACCTCCTGACCTTTGCATTCGCGCCCCACTCCACCCTACCACCACCTCCTGGGACACCATTCACATTACTCCTTCCCCCAGCAAACTCTGCTACACTCGCGTCTCCTCTCGTGTCTCAGCCCAGGCCCCCAACTCTCCCCTGTGCCATCCAGCCTCATCCAGACACTCCCCTCAATCCGGGCCATGGGATTGCGTGTTTGAGGGGGAGGCAGTGTGTGTCTGTTGGCCCTGACCCGTCCTTATCGCCTCCTTGGCCCGCACAGAGCATGTGCCCTCGGAGCTGTGGGAGCCCTTCTACACTGACCAGTACGCGCAAGAGCACGTGAAGCCCCCGGTGACGCGACTGCTGCTCTCGGCAGAGCTGTACTGCCGGGCCTGGCGCCAGGCGCTGCCACAACTTGAAACACCCCCCAGCCCCGCTGCACTGCTGGCCCTGCTGGCGCGCAGGGGCACGGTGCCCTCGCTGCCCGAGCGCCCAGTGCAGGAGGCGGACCTGAGACACCAGCCTATCCTCATGGTAAGGCCCCGCCCCTACCCGTTAGGTCCCGCCCACTGGACCTGCCCCTTTCCAGGGCTCCGCCCACCAACCCTGGCTCCTCCCAAAAGATACTACTCTGGCCCTTGAGGACTTGCCAGCCTGGCCCACCAGATCCTGAGACCTAGTATGTGACCTCAAAGTCTGGCCTATTAGGAGTGGCTCTTCCAGGACCCCTATCTTGGTTCGTTTCCCGAAGCCTCACCCACTAATCCCGGCACTGCCCCTCAAGCCCCTCCCACTTCCAGGTTCTTATCCTTCAGTCTTGGCCGGTAGAGTAGAGCCTCCTTCCTGCTCTTGTCTCACCCTTCAGTCCTTGTCCCCACAGGGAGCCCACCTGGCTGTCATTGATGCTCTCATGGTTGTCTTCGCCTTCGAGTGGACAAAGACGCTACCCGGCCCCTTGGCCCTGGCCAGCTTGGAGCATAAGCTCCTTTTTTGGGTGGACACGGTAGGTGGGGTTGGGCCACCATGGGCTGGGAGCCAGGATCACCCAGTGACCGGGGCACTGACCTCTCCTGGCCCCCCAGACCATCCGGCGGCTGCAGGAGAAGACGGAGCAGGAAGCAGCACAGAGAGCATCTCCCTCAGCCCCTGCAGATGGGGTGGCACCAGCACAGCCCTCGGTGAGGCTAAGGCAATGGACGGTGGGAAGGACAGGTGGTCAGAGGGCTGGGTGGGCAGGGCAGGGCTGTGCCTCTGGCCGTTTGCGCATTGACAGGGTTGGAGGTGACTCTCTCTCTCTCTCTGCCCTCTCCCCTGTGCCTGCTGCTCTCTCCTCTTCCTCTCTGGCCTCAGTGCCCCACACGCTGGTACTGGAAGCTGGTTCCTGTAAGTGGGGCCATATCACTGCCCCGTCTGCCTGTCCTGCTTGTCGCTCTGTCTGTGTGTTTTCTGCCTGCCTGCTCCTCCCTCCCCCAACTGTGAGCAAAGGAGGTGGGACCCCAGCCCTGGGGACAGAGAGAACCCCTCTGTAAACCAAGGGAAGGTGGGAGTGAGTCTCCGTTGTTCACTGAGAGGGCAGACCCCTCCCCAGTTACCTGATGGGATGACCCCTCCCTCCTCCCATCAATCAAGAGGACTCCCTTAGGTCTCCACCTGAGCCGAGGGAGGGACCCCGCCGGCGTTTCTGAAGGGAGAACCCAGCCCATCGACACATAAACTTAACCCCAATGGGCAGGGCACATGGAGTAGACGCCCCCCCAACCAAGAGAAGACCCTCAAACCCAGAAAAAGGTGGCAGATCCTTCTTAACTGAGACTCCAGATTCTCTAAGGATAGATCCCGGCGGGGGTGGGTGGGGGTCACGGGGGTGCTTATCCCTGAAGCACAAGGAGAAAGTGACTGCTACTTGTGGGGAGGGGGCTTTGGGCTGGGTGGGGTCCTCACCTTTGCTCACTCCGGGGCCTCTTTTCCCCCATCCTGGGGCCTGGGTTGGGGTTCTTGTCCTGCCTACCTGCTTCTTCTGCATCCCCTCCCCAAGCTGGGACCTGGGTCTTTTGTGGGGGAAGATTCCCTGCATGGGAGGCTGCTCTGTAGTGTCCCTCCAGGCTGGGAGGAGCTGAGGTCCCCAAAGCCAGCCAGCGTGCAGTCAGGGAGCTGAACGGCCAGGGCTCAGAACAGGGCTCAGGGCTTTCCTCTCCCCCACTCCCGGAGGTGTGCTTAGGGGCCCAGCAAGTCAGCACCCCTCCCGCCCCGCTGACGGCTGCTCCTCTCCCCCCAGCACGCAATTGCCTTCTGTTTGAAGGAGTCGGGGAACAAACCCCCCATGGTAACGTATCCCCCACCCCGGGGTCCCAGGAGTCCCTGCCCCCAGCCCCCGCTGCTGGCCTGGCTGCTCGCAGACACCTCCTCTGCCTCTTGCTGCTGCCCTTCCCCTGCTCCAGGCTGGCCCCTCACTCTGGCTCTGGGACCCCTGGCTTCACTCCCCCTCATGGCGGAAACCCCAGGCCTCCCTGCCCAGCCTGCATGACCTCTGACCTGGGGGCCAGCCTGACCTCTGACCTGATCCGGCTCCCACCTACAGATCCGATACCGCAAGGACCGTGCCGTGGCCCGACGTGCACCCTGCTTTCCCACTGTGACTGGCCTCCAGGACCTGGCGAGTGGGGCCGCACTGGCTGCCACAATCCACTGCTATTGTCCCCAGCTGTTGCGACTCGAGGGTGAGTGAATGGGCCTGGACCAGATCCCGCCCTGGGGAGTCTGGTGTCCTAAGACCCAGGAGTCTGTCCCCAGAGTGGTATAGTCACTATGAGTACAGCTTCCAGAATTGGCAGACTTGGGTTTGAACCTCCCTCTTCCCCTGATTAGCTGTGTGATCTCACCTAAGTGTCTAAACCTCTCTGCGCTTCATGTGATTCATTCCTGCAGCAAGTATTTCTAAAGTGTGAACTGTGTGCCAGACCCTATGTTAGACTCCAGGGATCCAATGAGAACAATTACAGAGCTCAGGCGACTCACATCCTGGTTGGGAGAAAAAGACAATAAGTTCATCCAGAAGAACATTCCAGATGTTAAGTGGTCTGTAGGGTGCCAGGTGATCAAGAAAAGCTTTTTGAGTTGAGTTCTTGGGGACCTAGTGATCTAGGCAATGGAAGTAGTAGAGGCAGAGACCTGACGAACAGCCTATCACAGTACCCACCTGGTGCAGGGCATGTGGCACCAGGCCCATAGGGGGTCCTCCATGTCAGTTGGCTGCTGGGTCCCCCCTCCCTGTGGCCCCCTCCTCCTTCCCGTAGTCCCAGGCATCCTGTTCCTACAGAAGTGTGTCTCAAGGACCCCATGTCCGTGGCGGACAGCCTGTACAACCTCCAGCTCGTGCAGGATTTCTGTGCCTCCCGCCTTCCTCGTGGCTGCCCATTGTCCCTCGAGGACCTGCTTTATGTGCCACCTCCCCTCAAGGTAAGGCCATTTTGGGGCCTGGTAGGCTGATGTGGGCATCCAGGGCTGTGGGTCTTGTGAGCTGACCCTGCCTTCCACCTCCAGATCAACCTGGTGGTGCTGCTAGCCGAGATGTTCATGTGCTTTGAGGTGCTGAAACCTGACTTCGTGCAGGCCAAGGACTTGCCTGATGGTCACGGTGAGGCCTGGCCCTGGGTCCACCTGGGGGTGGGGAGGGCCAAGCCCCGCCTGACCCTCCTCTCCCTGCTGCAGCCGCCTCCCCCCGGGCCACAGAGGCTTCCACCCCTCAAAATAGCAGTGGTGGCAGGTACGGTTTCCCCGCTGGGTGAGTGTGCACAGCCATGATGGGCTCCTCCCTGCTGGGCACTGGGACGGGCTAGGGGATGCTCTGATCTCCACCCTGGGAGAGGTGAGGGAGGAGCTCCTACGGCTGACGTGCATCTCTTGGCAGTTCTCCTGTGTTCAACTTCCGCCATCCACTCCTGTCACCCGGTGGCCCCCAGTCCCCACTACGAGGATCCACAGGTGAGGGCAGCCCTGGAGACCCCCACTCAGAAAGACTGCCCCAGCTGGTGCCATGTCATCTTGTGACCCCTCCATTGGGTCCCTTTGACACTTGAATGACCCTATGGAATGACACACTGATTCCCACAATGACCTCCCCAGTGGCTCAGCAGGACTCTCTAGTGATACTTAATGGCCTCTAGGTATCCATCCACATAATGACTCATCAGTGACACCCCCTGGCTGACCCCACCCAGGGTCCCCAGTGATCCCCACAGGGACCACTGACTGACCACTCACCACCCTTCCCAGGCTCCCTGAAGTCCTCCCCATCCATGTCCCATATGGAGGTCCTCGGCAAGGCCTGGAACCGGCAGCTCAGGTGAGTGCATCTCAAAGGCCCAGGCAGTGGAGAGGGCTGGGCCAGGGCAGGGCCAGGGCTTGTCCCGGGGGCTAACCCCTCCCTCTGGCCGCCCAGCCGCCCCCTTTCCCAGGCAGTATCGTTCAGCACCCCCTTTGGCCTGGACAGCGATGTGGATGTCGTCATGGGAGACCCCGTCCTACTTCGCTCAGTCAGCTCAGACAGCCTGGGTCCCCCGCGCCCCGTGTCAGCCCGGACCCCTGCCCAGCCACCCCCGGAGCCTGGCGACCTGCCTACCATTGAGGAGGCCTTGCAGATCATCCACAGTGCCGAGCCCCGGCTGCTCCCAGACGGGGCTGCCGATGGCAGCTTCTACCTCCACTCCCCTGAGGGGCCCTCCAAACCGATGCTGCCCTCCTCCTACCCGCCGGACAAGGCACCTGCCTACTTGCCCCACCTGGAGGGCGCTTCAAAACCCTCTTCCTGCCAGGCAGGGGAGGTACTGAAACCACCGGCCCTGTCTGAGGGCTCGCCGAAGGCAGTGGCTTCGTCCCCAGCTGCCAGCAACTCTGAAGTGAAGATGACCAGCTTTGCTGAACGCAAGAAGCAGCTGGTAAAGGCTGAGGTGGAGGCCGGAGTGGCTACCCCAGCAACACCAGAAGCCCTGAGCTCAGAGATGAGTGAGCTTGGAGCCCGGCTGGAAGAAAAACGGCGGGCCATAGAGGCTCAGAAGCGAAGGATCGAGGCCATTTTTGCCAAGCACCGCCAGCGTCTAGGCAAGAGCGCTTTCCTGCAGGTGCAGCCACGGGAAGCTGGAGGGGAGGCCGAGGCCGAGCCCGAGGCCGAACCGAGCCCAACCCCTAGTGGGGAGCGGCCGGCGGGCGAGGGCCAGGGTGAGCCGTCCCCACGGCCCAAGGCAGTGACCTTCTCACCAGAACTGGGCCCAGTGCCCCCTGAGGGGCTGGGGGACTATAACCGGGCAGTCAGCAAGCTGAGTGCTGCACTGAGCTCATTGCAACGGGACATGCAGAGGCTCACGGACCAGCAGCAGCGGCTCCTGGCCCCACCTGAGGCCCCTGGGCCCGCCCCGCCTCCCGCTGCGTGGGTCATCCCTGGCCCTACAATGGGTCCCAAAGCTGCATCCCCTAGCCCTGCACGGCGTGCCCCAGCTGCCCGGCGCAGCCCTGGGCCCGGGCCCAGCCCGACACCCCGCAGCCCGAAGCATGCCCGACCAGCAGAGCTGCGGCTGGCGCCACTGACGAGGGTGCTCACGCCTCCCCATGATGTAGACAGCCTCCCCCACCTGCGAAAGTTCTCGCCAAGCCAGGTGCCTGTGCAGACGCGGTCCTCCATCCTCCTGGCAGAGGGGCCACCTCCTGAAGAGCCCTCGGCAAGGCCAGGCCTCATCGAGATCCCACTGGGCAGCCTGGAAGAGCCCTCGGCCGAGGAGGAGGGAGACGGGAGTCCCCCTGGAGCTGAAGATTCTTTAGAGGAAGAGGCATCTTCAGAGGGAGAACCCCGCACTGGGCTGGGCTTCTTCTATAAGGTACATCACCTGAGCAGGCGTGGGGTTTGGAAGGTCAGTCAGCAGGTGCGGAGGTGGATTGGGCAGGTGGATGGATGGGCAAGTGGACGATAGGGCATTCCAGTGGATGGGAAAATAGATGGAGCTGGTGGATGGACAGGAGGTGGGTAGGTAGCCAAGTAGGAGTGGGCAGACAAGGTGTGTGGGGTGCATAGAGTGTAGATAAGTAGATGGATAAAGGCGTGCAGACGGATAGAGGGGTGGGTGACGGACAGATGGACAGGATGGATAAACAAGGCTTGGGTCTTCCATGGCGTCTCTCCTGCTCGCTCTCTCCTTCACACTTCCCCACACCAATGGTCTCGCCAGTTTTCCTGACCCTGTTCCCTGTCCATTCTTCATCCTCATGGCACCCCCAGCCTGGGCCACCGTCTCTCACCTGGACACCTGCAGTCACATCCTGACTGGTCTATACTGCTCCCCACCCCAATCCCTGGCCATTTTCAGCTGAGCAGCCTGGACCACTCTCCTCACCCCTTCCCAGTTGTCTGCCTCCTCCTCTGGATTGCCTCCTCCAGGAAGCCTTCCTCGGTGCCCCAAGGCGAGGAGATACGTCCCTCCCCATAATGCAGACCGGTAGCTGCCTGTTGGTGTAATATCAGATTGTCTTCCCCACCGAGTTAAGTACTCTGTGGGAGCAGAACCCAGGTCTGTCCCATCTGTCGTACCCTAGGACCCGGCACTTGGGGCTGTGCACAATGCGGGTACCAATTAAATGCCTTTAGAATAATTAAAATAGAAAGGACAGGTGAGTGGCTGGCAAGCTGGGCTGACGGATCAGACTGGCCGTGCCAGGGGAGGGGAGGCCAGCTGGACTCGGTATCTGCCCCCAGGATGAAGACAAGCCCGAGGACGAGATGGCCCAAAAGCGGGCCAGCCTGCTGGAGCGGCAGCAGCGGCGGGTGGAGGAGGCACGGCGTCGGAAACAGTGGCAGGAGGCCGAGAAGGAGCAGCGGAGGGAAGAGGCTGTGCGGTAAGGCTGGGCCCGGTGCCAGGGACCCCTGCCGCCGCTGACCCTGTGGTCTGACTGCTTCATTCCCTCCATCTGCAGGTTGGCCCAGGAGGCAGTGGCCGCCAGTCCCCCAGCTCCCACAGCACCCCCAGCCCCTGCTGCCCAGGCTCCAGCTGAAGAAGAGGTTGGCCCCCGGCGGGGGGAGTTCACGAGGCTGGAGTATGAACGCCGGGCCCAACTGAAGCTGATGGATGACCTGGACAAGGTGCTGCGGCCACGGGCCTCAGGGACCGGGGGACCAGGCCGGGGTGGACGGAGGGCCCCCCGGCCACGCTCTGGTTGCTGCGATGACTCGGCCCTGGCACGAAGCCCAGCCCGTGGCCTGCTAGGTGAGGACACTGTGGGGTGCAGCCTGCCCAGCACCTCTTTCCAGGGCTTGCTAAATGGGGCCTCTCTGGGGGAAGGATCTCAGGGGTGCAGGGCATATGTGAGTGATAAGGGTCTCGGGCGAGGGTGCCCTGCTTGCTAGGTGAAGACCTCCAGAGAGAGATGGGGCCTGCAGTAGGGTAAGGGCTGTTGGGCAGAGCTGGCCTCAAATTCTTTCCACGGCTTAATGGATCAGACCCCCTCGGAGGCTGCACAGGGTGAGGGTCTTGGGCAGGGCTGACCCCACGTTCTCTACCCAGTCTGCCAGGCAGGTCCCCACTGGGCACTTCCGGATGTAAGGGGTCTTTCGGGTGGGGCCTGATCTGATGCCCTCTACCCCCAGGTTCTCGGCTCAGCAAGGTCTATTCTCAGTCCACCCTGTCGCTGTCGACTGTGGCCAATGAGGCCAATAACCTTGGTGTGAAAAGGCTCACATCTCGGTGAGTTTGGTCTGGGCAAGTGGCCTCTCAGAGTCTATGTATGTGCATGTGTGTGAGCTACAAGTGTGCTACGGCATGAGTGTGTATCTGCAACTAAAGGGATGAAAGGACGTGTACAAATGGGACTGTCTGTACCCGACGGAGAAGAGCTAAGCATGTGCCCTCTGCGCCTGAGGGAGTGGTCGGCGTGCCTGAGGCCGGAGAGTGCAAGAGGCACGCACGGACCTGGGAGGATGTGCCAGACGTGTCCGTCTTCCGCTCTGCACAGGGTTCTGGGCTGTCCTTTCCCTGGTCTCACTGCATACTGAGTAGCTTTACCCACCACTGACCACTTTCCTATCCCATCCCTTCCTCCCTGCAGGGCTCCGTCCCCATCCGGCCTCATGTCCCCGAGCCGACTGCCTGGGAGCCGCGACCGTGACTGGGAGAATGGCAGCACCGCCTCCTCCCCAGCATCAGTGCCTGAGTACACGGGTAAGCGGGGCTCCTGGCAGTGAGCACTGAGCCCCGTCCTGGGTCATCCCTCTGACCATCCCTCCCCCTAGGTCCTCGGCTATACAAGGAGCCCAGCGCCAAGTCCAACAAGTTCATCATCCACAACGCCCTGTCACACTGCTGCCTGGCGGGCAAGGTGAACGAGCCGCAGAAGAACCGAATTCTCGAGGTGAGCCTGCGCCAAAGGGGTCTAGGGGCCAGCAGGAGGGTCCAAGGCCCCACTGGGCTGGCTGACCATGTCTCCCACCCACTAGGAAATTGAGAAGAGCAAGGCCAACCACTTCCTGATCCTCTTCCGGGACTCGAGCTGCCAGTTTCGGGCCCTCTACACACTGTCAGGGGAGACAGAGGAGCTGTCCCGGCTGGCAGGCTACGGCCCCCGCACAGTCACACCTGCCATGGTGGAGGGCATCTACAAGTACAATTCTGACCGCAAGCGCTTCACCCAGATCCCCGCCAAGACCATGTCCATGAGCGTGGACGCCTTTACCATCCAGGGACACCTCTGGCAGAGCAAGAAGCCCACCACTCCCAAGAAGGGGGGCAGCACCCCCAAATAGCCCCGCCCCAGGTGGTGCTTGACCACCACTCTCTCAGAGGACAGCCTGGAAGACATTCAGTGGTTATTCCTGGGCCCTGTCTGTCCCCAGCCTTGTCTGGGTGGGCCTAGAGTTCCCACCACCTTAACTTGTCCCGTCCTTCTGTGGGGGCTGAGCTGGGAGGATCAGGGACTCAGGGCTCAGCTCAGTCCCCTGTCTGTCCTCCCCACTTTCTTGAGTAAAATAAAGAGACCTTGAGCGCTGACATCTCCCTGAGGTTAGCTGGGGTGCCCGTGATGTCTGCCTGAGGGTTTTCCAGTTTCCTGTCTCCTGGTCACTCTTGAACCTGCTTCCAGACCCTTGTTGGTTCTCATGCACTTCCTGCCAAGGTCACAACTTCCCTGCCAACACCCCTTATGGCCACTTCACAGCTGCTTTACTGACCTGTTAGGCACAGGAGACTACTGACCAGCCCTCCTCTCCCGAGCCCCAGCTCACTTCATTTTCCTCTGTGGTTGTAATTACTGGCCTTGCCTGGTACTTGGTCCACAGCCAACTGCTAAGCTTGATCATTCCTCCTCCAGCCACCTGCCTACCTTTCTAGGCTGTTAACTACCCTGGGTCAGGGATTCCCGTGTTCTCTCCTCTGAGCTCTACATCTGAGAGTCCAGCTGCCTCCTGGCAAGGCCACTGGATGTCTGATACAGACTCTAAACCATAAGTTCAAGCCAGACTGATCTCCCATTCTCCCTGCAGCCCTGGCATGCCAGGTGAGGGACTGGCTTCTCCAATACCATCCAATACAGCACATTTTACCTCCCAAAGCCTCTTCTGTTGCTCTCATTTCTCTGTCCCCATGACCCCCAGTCCAAGCCAATAGCCTGGGCCTCCCCACATCCCCAGATGCCTCCTGTCACAAGTCAACCCCCCATAGCAGCCTGCATGGCCTATTCAGGACACAAATCTGATTACATCCCTGAATGCTTAAAATCTCTTAATAGCTTAGAGCCCGATAATGGTTTCCCAGAGCTTAGGACTAAGGGCCACACCCTTCTATGGCCCATGGCTGAGGTCTAGCTCCTGGCCACTGTCCAGGAGAGAAGTGCCTTGCTAACTAAGTCCCAGGACCAGGGACTGCCTGCCTCCCAAGCTTGCTGACCAGTTCTCTTGGGGGGAGGCTGGGAATCTCTACCTGCTGATTGGGGTGGTGGGGAGGGGACAGACAGGCCCTAGGTGGCAGGGGTTGGTGAGACCTAGGCAGTTGGGAGCAAGGTGCCCCAGGCTCAAGGATCAAGGAGGCCTCAGGCAGCAGAGAGACTGGTCTCCTAGTCCAGAACTGGCTCTGCAGGATGAAGATGGGTGTGTGCCCTGGCCCAGAGCCCGGCTGCCCCACCTCCCCTACCAGCCAATCGGGAAGTGGGGGGCTGGGCCCAGGACCAGAGTGAGAATGAGCTGGCAATCCCTTCGGGCACCTGGCAGAAGGAAGGGTGGGCAAGAAGGAAGCTCAGACTACGTCCTACAAACACAGGCTTCATTGTGGGGGGTGGGGAGTGGGTGTCAGTCTTCCTTCAGGCTCCCGAACACTGCGGCCGGCACGCTCTGCTGTTCCAGCCGCACCTCTGCGGGGAGGGGAGGAAGGCACGGTCACTCTCCAGCTCTCCAGAAGGGGATCCTGCCCCACCTCCCCCACCACTCTGCCGGCCCCTCACCATTGGGCTCAAGGTCCATCTCATCCTCGTCCTCATCCTCGCCCAGCTCAATCTCCTCTGGGTTGGCCTGCTGCGCCAGCTCAGCCAGCTCCTCCCGGGATGCGTCGCTCCTGGGGTAGATAGAGGCCACACAGCTCAGCTGGGCCCAACCACTTCTCCAGCCTCCCCAGGAACCTCCTTCCGGAGGAGCTCGCTCACTCCCAGCCTCCAGCCCCATCCTCACCTCACAAACAGGATCTTGTTCTGGGCCCTCGGGGGCTGGTCGCGCTCGGCCTCAGCCGCCAGCTGCTCTGCCCGCTGCTCCAGCAGCTTCATGTCATCCATACCGCTCTGCCCAGGGGCGAGGTCAGACACTGGGGGGAGGGTCGGGAGTCAGACGCTGTGAGTGGGCCCTCTCCACAGCCACACCAGCTGCCTGATGTCCTCACCTGTCCCCGACGCCCTAGACCTCAATGAGTTCTCAGTCTCAGACCGGGGTGGTAGAGGTAGACCGTGATGCTCCCAGACCCATGAAGTCAAGGTTGGGCAGAGGGCGGAGGGAGGACCCACAGGCCCCAAAACCGGGAACTGTGCTGCCCAGGGCAGACCTGGCAGGGGAGGGGTGGCCACTGCTGCTCACCGGTGCCTGTGGCGCTGCCAGACACCTTGAGCATCTGCGAGGCCATGAAGTTGACCTGCGTGTTGTACGTGGCCTGCACGCTCCGGCGGATCCGCAGCATCTCCCGGATGGTGTCCTCATTGCCATGCCGGACCTCGAAGTCCTTCCACGTTTGCCAGAAGGCCCCAGTTGTCTGTGGAGGGTGGAGGTGTCTGTATGAGCTGGCCCACTCGGCTGCAGCTTCTCAACGCCCGCCCACCTGCCCCGGGATCCATCCCTACCCGGGGGTCGCAGATCTGAGAACAGAAGCTGTAGATGGCTCGAGCTCGGTCTATCTCCCCTAGCTTGCATTCCATGTCTGCAAACCTCAGGCACATCTCCCGGGCATGTTCGTCCGATAGCACCTGGGTGACAACAGGGTCACAATGAAGAGGCGTGAGGTGGAAAGAGAGCTGCTTCTGGATTTCCCACTAAACCAGGATGGTCCCTGAACTTCCAGAATACCCCTCCCAGTCCCCAGGCACAGGCATGCTCGGATCTCTAGCCTGCAGGACCCCTCCCACCCTCTAAGGGTCCCCCAGCCCCCACTCTTCCCCCTGCAACAGGCACCTCGATGGCTTTCTGGTAGATGCCACGGGTGTGGGTGACTCCATAGATCTCGGCCGCCCGCTTGATATAGATATTGAACATGTCATACTGCTGGGCGGGTTCCACAGCCCGGGTGGCGCGCTCGTACACAGCCATGGCGTGCCGGGCCAGGCCCCACTCCTCCTCCAGCTGTGCGTACAGCAGGTACAAGGCTGCAGCAGGACAAAAGGGGAGTCGGAGGTCTGTGGCCTGGCCCACAACACCCCTCCCCGCCCCACCACCCTGCACAAAGCCACCTGGCCCTCCTCACTCTTTGCGTATTTAGGGGGGCAGCCATCCAGCGCCTGCTCAAAGAGGTCCCGCGCCCGCTCCAGCTTGCGGCCCCCGTAGCGGGCGATGAATTTTGTCAGGTAGGTACTCCAGATGTCTGACACATTAGGCCACTTGAACAGTGAGATGCCACGCTCGTATGCCTGCCCCGAGAGAGGGAGCTGTGTGTGAGTCCGCAGGACGAGACCACCTGGCTGTCTGCCAGGACACTCCTGCCTGTGTCTCCTTTGGGCTCAGTGAGTGGGGCCCAGCCCTGTCCACCCCTTGCTACAATCATGGAGCAGTCAAAAGGGCCTATGTATTGTCTGTCTCCCCCAACAGACTGTAGGACCCCCAAAACAGGGTCAGACCAGGACTAAGTCACCAGTAGGTGACGTAATGAGTGAAGGAGGTGGATCCTCAGCTCTGCAGACACTAGAGCCCAGGCCAAGGGGCAGGGCCTGTCACTCAGGCGGGGGATGGCACATGTGTACTTGTACAAACTCCCATCCATGTATATATGCACAGTATCCAAATGTACACGTGTACACATACGACACCCTATGGACCTACGACCCGTCACCTGAGCAGCAGAGACAGCCCCCACACAGCCACACCAACGACAGAGGCAGGACTTGGCGCCTGAGATGGGATGAACTGTGTCCTCCAAAATTCATCTTTAAGTCCTAACCCCAGCATCTTAGAATGCGACTGTATTTGGAAATAAGGTATTTACAGAGACAACTAAGTTAAAATGAGGTTATTAGAGTGAACCTTAATTCAATGACAGTGTTCTTATAAGAAGAGGAGACCCAGACATGAAGAGACACCAGAAACATGCACACACACAGGGAGAAGACGATCATCTACAAGCCAAGGAGAGAGGTCTCAGAAGGAACCAACCCTGATGACACCTCGGTCTCAGATTTTCGGCCTCTACAACTGTGAGAAGATAAATTTCTGTCCTACAAACCGCCCGGCCTGTAGGACTTTAACAGCAGCCTCAGCAGATTAGCAAGCACAGTGCTCAAGGCACCAGAGTAGAGGACACCGCTGCCTGGAAGCTTCTGATTGGCCCTCACCTTGAAGCTCTCCTCGAAGTATTTGTGCTCCTCCAGAAACATGGCGTAGTTGATGACAATCTGGGGGGTGGCAATGCGCAGGTCCAGGATGCGGTCATACACGGCCTTGGTAGACTACAGGGGCGGGGACAAGTCGGAGTGTGTCCGGGGGGCTGAGTCAGCGGCCCCACCCCTCCCGTGACCTGTTGGGTCTTGACAGCTTACCTGAAAGGTGCCAAGGCTCTCTTCCAGGTCGGCAAGCATGGACCACACCTTCAGTGATTTGTACACGCGGTTCTGCACAGGTTCTGAGCCATCGAAGTACTCAGCCCGGCGGGCAGGCAGCGCTGTCGCCTTCTGCAGAGAGAAAGCAGAGAACATGAGTTGGGAGCATCCCAGGCTGGGCCACACACCACGCTCCCCTCCCCCATACCCTGCGTGGTATTTACCCGCAGCAGCCGCAAGGCCTGGTCATAATTCTCGTGCCGGAGCTCCAGCTCGCCACACTCACACCACACGCTCGCCAGGTCATCCACCTGTTTGAAGCTCACCTTGGTGGCCTTCTCTAGGATGATGCGGGCCTGCCAGGACAGGGAGAGGCTAGGCTGAGACCCTGACCACCCACCTGCCCCTGGGTCATCTGAACAAGGATGCATTTGTGCTTACACGCAACATGCACGTGCAAATGCACTCACATCATCCAGCTGCCCGTTGTCCTCATAAAACTTGGCGAAGGCTACCCACAGTGTGTGGGGTTTGCCCGTAGCCTTGAAAGGGTCCACTGTCTGCACAGCCTCTGTGTACGTGTTGATGATCTGGGCAGGAGACACTGGGTCAGGCTGGATGATTGGGGCCGTGGCAGGTGAAGGTGGGGTGGGGGACACAACTCTGAGGGTACGGAGCAGTCACGCACCTCCCGGGGACGGCCCTGGTGCAAGGCCACGCGCTTGTGCCATTCATGCACATGGTGCGGGTTCTGGCGCAGCAAGACACTGTTGAGGAGCAGGGGCCGCCGGCTAATGAGCTGCTCAAAGCGGGCCAGGCGCAGCTCAAGGT